AAAGGTTACCCAATGCTGTAATGGGTAAATTTTTCAAAGTACATTGTCCTACTAAAAAATAGTTTGAAAGTACATTGTTGTAATAAGAAAAACTAAAAGTACAGTGTTATAATAAAGAAATTTATGAAAGTAGATTGCTATTTTGTGTATTTTGCCCTTTAATATATACATATATTGGGGTTGATTCTTTTGTTAACATAATAATTGATGTTAACTATGTGAACCAATCTTGATTCTTAATCCTTGAAATCTCTGGATAAAATTAATCATTGCATGTTATGAAAAAACTCAATAGAAATAAACATTGTTGAACATGGTATTTGTGAAAATGATCATGGCATATGAACACATATGAACAATCTTATTGAACATCGTATGATTATGAACGCATATGAGCACATTTTTATGAACACCTATAAATATCATTTATTAATGTAATTCATATTAATATGGTGAACAAATAGAGTGTGTTTTAGGAGCATTTCACATATGAACCTGCAATATGTTCACTTTGATTAACCATTATTTGAATCCAAATGACAATTTTTGTGGTCGATGGAAACAAATTTACATGTTGCATGATAAAAATATGCATTTTTTTTTTCAAATTTTGAAAGATCGACCTTAAATGCTGTAATAAATCATCTTGAATTCTTAGGTATAGGGATAGTTACACACAATAAATAGGTGCTTGAAATTGTAGTTATTATAGTCTAAGGACCAAGCTAAAGTTGTTGGATCATAAGATCAAGAGTCCCACCAAAATATGTCACTCGTTTAATTTCTATAAATATAGTACTTGAAAATTAGGTTAAGGACAGATGTAAACGAGGTATCTTAATAAAAGATCATATAGGATAAAAAGACGGTGAATTCAAGATATGAACGGATTGATCAATCTGTTAGATTATAGGGGTACAAAAATGAAGCAAATATACAGATTTTACAGTCATTAGCAAACTAATTTGTAAATAAATCATCACTCTTATAAAAATTACAAACATAACACTAATATTTACAAAAAGATGAGCATTTTTTTTTAGAAAACTTGCTAACTGTGAGTGGAATCAGACTTTGAAAACGATGGTTCACATAGAGTGCGTTTGGTTTGTACGAATGGAATGGAATTGGGGGGATTTGGATTTAAAATCCATTCCAATTATGTGTTTGGTTGGCAAAATAGTCAGGATTTGAAATCCCATGTTTTCATTAAAATCCCTTAAACATGGGATTTGGAAATCCTTTGCATATGGCAGTGATTTGGAAATCCTTCCCTTCGACTCGCTTCCAGATCCCGTTCTCGCTTCCCTTCCCGTCCTCTTGCTTCCTGCCTCCCTAAGCCCTAACCCGTCGGTGCTTTCTCCTCCTCGCCGGTAATCTTTCCTCCTCGTTGTCCCGCTTGAACAGGTGCTCTCGCNCTCGCCGGTAATCTTTCCTCCTCGTTGTCCCGCTTGAACAGGTGCTCTCGCAGGTGCTCTCGTCTGTGTTCTCGCCGGTGCTCTCTCCTCCTCTTCGCCGTCTTCTCTCATCACTCAGCAGGTAAAGACTTCCCTTTTCCCCTTTTCTTGAATGTGCTCTCTCTTCCTCTTCGCCCTTTTTCATTCCAATACTGAGTAAGAAGCATGTTGTCCCAACTGATTCAGTCTAGTTAATGTTAGGAATTCAGTCTAGCAAATTACAAGGCTGTGGAAGTGACAGTCAATTTCTACGTATTTAGTTCATATACAGTTCAATTTGGCTTCTGTATGGTTTGAGTTCATGTACAGTTCAAATCCCTCCAAATCCAAATCYTGCAAACCAAACACAGGAATGGATTTTAAATCCAATCCAATCCAAATCCCATGAAATCCAAATCCCTCCTAGGAATCCAAATCCCTCCTAGGAATCCAAATCCCTCAGAAACATTTCTGCAAACCAAACGCACCAATAGTATTTCAAATTTTGATTTTGGGAATAATCAATTCACTTTTTGGTGAATTAGTTATGTTGTTTCAATCAATTATAATTTCTAAGAGTTTCGGTATTGATTTTACAAACCACGGGTATAATTAAAAAGGGCTTGATTATGAGTTTATTTATGATATCGTGATGATCATTAAAATCGTAACCCTAAATGGTTTGATTTAATCATTGGGTTTTAAAATGCACAAAGGGTCGCATTTCATATTTGTTGAAAAATGATAACATAAAATGATTTAAAGTTGATCCCAATGTTGTTACATCGGTCCTTGCTTTGGGTCATAATAGGCAAAAGCAGTGATCGATGTATGCATTGGAGTTGGGGTCACTTGACCTCCATAAAATTTTGAGAATTTGTTTTTTTTATATTATAAAATTTATTTTTTATAAATATAAATTTATATCTGACCCCTCCAAAATTTATAAATTTGAATTCCGGCCTTCATTAGCAAAATTTCTAGATCTGCTACTGGGTAAAAGGTATGACTTTCGGGGCAATGATGGGATTCTAAGGGATCCTAGAGATTAATAGGACTTCAGAAAATAAGAAAAAGTCACGAGTTTTCATCAACTTTACAAAAAATAAAAAATACATGCTAAAGTACCGTTTTTTTAATGTTTGTGCATTTACAATACACGTCTTGCTACAAAATATGTCATGCATGAAGAGTTTGTCATGCAAGGCAAGTAGTCATGATTATATATGTTCCAGTGTTAGTGAAACAATCATCTATGTTTTTTAAGAAAAAAAACATGATGTTAGATTTATAATTTATGAAAGGGAAAATTGCACTTAAAATGAAACCAACTTTGGTCTAATTCTTAAATGAATTTCAAAAACAATCATTTTAGGGTTTGTACCAAAATTTTCATATACTATAGGGTATGGATTGCTTGTTCAACGGGTAACCAGTTACCTCAATCCGGCGTGGCAATATAATTAATTAAAAACATACTGTGTGGATATTAAAAATGCTATATCATCGTTAGTTACAAAAACAAATAGAAACTCATATGATAGATATCGATATGCCAAATTTGTCGCCTTCTCACCCTCTCGAAGAAATCCAGAACTCATACAAACTCATTTCCCTCGCAGTTGTTTGATCATTACTTTCTCACCCTCTTAAAAGAGAACCAAAACTCATATGAGATACATGAGGGTGTGAAATTTGAGCTTTTTACACATCTTCTTTTTGAATCTAAAGTTGATTCCTCTTAGATTTGTTGAATTTTGATAATCAGGTTTATATTTTGTTGGAGGCGGTAGTATCTAAGGGGCCGTTTACTAAACATTTACTTGGTAAGTGCTTAACGCCATAAATTTTCTCATCGAATGAACATGAGAAGGGCCAAGAATCTTACCGGGTAAGAACGATGAGAATGATGGAGAGTCTTACCTGGTAAGTGAGGCTGACGACTCTTACCCAGTAAATTGTTGCATTCGATATGTTTTGATGTACTAAAATCTTACGTATCAAAATAAAATATAGTGTTAACTCTTATGTTAAGCATTTACCGGGTAAGTATTTGGGTAAACGACACCTAAGTAGGGTTCCTCCATGGAGTTGCTGGATAAGATTGCTAGATGAGAGGAATAGGTTACTCTTTATTTCAGTAGTAAGAGCATCTGTAAGAGCTGTTGTATAAATTTTCTACAATAACATCTAAATTGGGACAGGGATTCAATTGGAGGCTTAGATCTGAGGGTTTTAAAGTGGGCGAAAGGAAAAAAGAAGAAGAGGAAAACACAGTAGACATGTGATTATTTGAAGGCTTGGATATCTCTTTCCTAAATAAAAATATTAACAGCTGTATGATTAATTGCTTAGTAGAGAGCTATGCAACGAAAGAAACACAAGGGAGAAATCGAGAGTTTTGATGAGGGTTGAGGATGACGAGAAAAAATATCGTTCTTGGGTATTTAAATGTTATAAAACGTTGTGTTGTTGTATAGTTATTGGCACCATGTCATAAATTATTATTTTTTTCCTTTTAAAATATGACATGGAAGCTTAGTTGGCATTTAATTGGGCGATGTCATCACTAGCATGTTAACGGGTCATCAAGACCCTTGTATATACGAAAAAGTATGGGTTAAGCCCGAAAATGATGATTTTCAAAATTGGTTCTCCTAAATAGGAAACAAATCAAAGTTAACTCAATTTTAACGAAAGAGATGGGGACTCTGGTTTGTGTCAAAACTAGTCATTTGAATGACAATGACATGTCGTGGCTCGTGACTACATAATTGAAAATTTTGTGGTCCAATGGAAACAAATCTACATGTTTACGTAAAAATGGATACGCTTGTTTTTTAATGTTTTCATTTTATTCTTTATTTCTATGTATACGAAGACATATACTTGAACTTAAATGCAATGATAAATGATCTTGATTGTGTAGGTGTAAGGATCAAATTTATTATGTATGCATGTCGATTGTCGACTGAGGACCAAGCCAAACGTTGTTGAATCATGTAATATAAGGTATCTGTCTAAATATTAATATAAAGAGAGAATATATTAAAACAAAAAAACAAAATGTAAATTACTTCATTTATGATTTTAATTTTATATTTTTAATACTTGTATTAATTCTTTATAAATATCGAAGAGAATGACTACATCAAGTTATAAAACCCAGGGGACCTTCAACAATCGACTTCCTAAAAAAACTAATATGTGTTTCGTTTAAATCAAACACATATATAATTGGTTGAGACTTTCTATAAATAAGTTACATATTCTCGGTATTGATTTAAAAAATGTATTTTTAACGTCAAAGACTTAATGTGTACACTAATTCCTCATACTGTTTTCTTTAACCAATTTTAATTTCATGATGAAGGCGGGTTTAATTCAATAGAATGATACTGAATTGGAATGACAAATTTTTTAGATGAGAAAATTCATCGTTGCTTTAGATATATTGGTGGAATTCTATTACATTCACTGTCATGAAAATTTGATAGAAATTCTTAAAAATAACTTATCAACCATTATGTATCATTGGTTAATATAAATATCTCAAAATTCAAGGTTACAAGTTATTATGCTTTTTTTGTTCAGATATTGAACCAAACTTTTGCTTATTTACGTTTTTAAAAAGTTTAAAGATACGTGTAATTGAAAAGGACGAACATGGGTTGTGAACGTGTAGACCAAACGTTTGTGGTGCTTGGTGGAGTTGGGTGGTGATGATGAAGACCAAGATTTGTCTTCGACAAAATGAAGATGATGGCAAAGGATTATCGAGCAACAAAGGACAAAGGTTCTAAAAGTTTATCAATCGTGTATTTGTGTTTTCTATGATAACATGATTACATTATATTTGTTTAGTTTTTAATTATGATAAGTTCACCGTAACAACTAATAGAGTCAAGGACGGACCTATATATATATATATATATATATTTTTTTTTTTTTCCAAACAGTAGCACCGTTTGACTATAAGAAACAAATATACAGATTTTTTTTAAATATGACACCATTTGACTAAGAAAAATGACATTAACAGGATTCGAACTTGGATTTGAGGTGGAATAAAAGCCTTGCAAACCAACTCTACCAAAAAATAAAATTTCAAGACAAACACTAACACAGAAGCCTGTGAACCATTTAATCATGCATAAAACTGCTGATAAATATTAACCAAATTATAGGTATTGTCTTTATAAATTAACCAATTAATTATCTAACAAATGTTTAAATGACACCATATATGATATAACATTTTATGATTTTCGCTATTTATGGTTTAAGAAATGCTCAAATTGCATGTATAATTTAGGAGGTGTTTGAGATTGTTTATTTGAAACAACTTATGTTTTTCTACAAAAATGCTTATCAACTTATTATAGGTTAGAATGATTTAGCTTCTTCAAAAACTTCTTATTACCGGTTTGACACCGATATAAGTTGTTTATCCAAACACTCAAAAGTGTTTATTACCGATGATGACACATCAAAATAAATCAATAAGTTATTTTTATAAGCAATCCCAAACACCCCTTGATTTGCAATTTTGCTTATAAATATTACGGAACCGCATCATACATTACATATTTACATGGGGGGTCGCAGGGAGCATATGCGTAATTTCTGAAAAATCAAGGAACCAAAAGTGTAGTTTACTCTAACTGATAAATAAACAGAGGTTTGAGGTGGTCACCTGAAACGGTCAAAAATTCTATCGCCCTTCCTCTTCGTTGTGCCGTTGCACCATGGCTGCAAGCCCATCGGTCCTTATCCTCCACCCCCGCCTCACCCTCTTCGCCACCAGTCTCCGCCCTTTCTCCCTCATCCACCACCAATTCTCCCTCCGTCCTCCTACTCCAAGCCGCCTCCCTATTCTCTTCGCTCGTAGTAGAAACCACTCCTCTTCCATCTCTCCATTACCTACTGCCACACCCTTGTCTACTGACGATTCCAAAGAAACTCCTCACGCCGGCCGATCTGGCTCTGTCTCTTCCCCTCCGTTTCAGGCCGCCGATTACTCACAGAAAATAGACGTTAATCCTCCCAAAGGCACCAGAGATTTCCCTCCAGAAGAAATGCGCCTCCGCAATTGGCTTTTCCAGAACTTCAGAGAGGTTCAAGTCCAATAAACGGACTCATGTTTTTCATTTGGCATTGTTTAGTTGATTATGGAAGTATATTATTTTTGGTCGATTGTATTATGCGAGGTGTTACTTGAAGAAAGGTTTAGGACATTTGTTTTATTTTCTTGAATTTCCTGATGATACAATGTTTGAGGTTAAACCTAGTACTCTCCTAATTTGAATTATCATGTGTTTTTACTTGTTCTTATATCTTCTTGGTTGGAAATTATGAGTATGCTAACTGGATGTTGAATATTAGGTTTCACAATTGTTTGGATTTGAAGAGGTTGACTACCCGGTACTAGAATCAGAGGCTCTTTATATTAGAAAAGCAGGGGAGGAAATAAGAGACCAGGTTTAGTAGTACTTCTATTCTTGTTGCATTTATCTTGGGTTTGACATGTTACAAGTTTTTCATTTTTTTCTTCCATCACTCTTAATCTTTTTAACAAGAGATGAATCTGGGATGAAGCTCTTTACATGCAGATTTTGTTTTGGCTATGTGAAACCCGAATCTTGGAATCTTTGGAACAGGAATGCAATGATAGAAACTTGAAATGACCAAAAGAGTTGGAACATAGTCCAATGTATTATGTCAAACTGAAAAAGATTGGTGTTCATGTATGATTTCACCTGTTCTGATGCAGCTTTACTGTTTTGAGGATCGAGGAAATCGCCGAGTGGCATTGAGGCCTGAGCTTACTCCTTCTCTGGCTAGGCTTGTCATGCAGAAAGGGTATTCTTCTTGTTTGTTCTTTATTTATTTATTTTTATCTTCCTGCTTCTCTTTTGGAAATCATACAATGTCTTCCCCCTACCCTCCATACAACAGTCTCCAATTTGAGTGGTTCATTGTGGGAAGCTTGTTTAGGTGTTTCACGGTTTGAAGATACAGGCCATGTATCTGGTTATTTATTTCTTATTTGTGATTTTGTGTATCCAGGTACAGATGCCAGAATTTGATCTCCCTATTTTTTTCTGTCCAGAAAATCTGTACCCCTTCCAATAAAATGGTTTGCTGTTGGACAATGCTGGCGATATGAGAGAATGACCAGGGGACGTCGTCGTGAACACTATCAATGGAACATGGATATAATTGGTGTGCCTGATGTAACCGTATGTCCTTGCTAGTTTATTTTCCTTTTCATGTTTCTCATTGCTAAAATATCAAGTTACTGCGTGTAGTGATTTCTTGCATTATTGACTTTTGATGTTTCCATAAGCCTTTGACTAATTTTGGGGGGGGGGGGGTCTTATGATTCTTTGACATTGATTCAAGAGAGAGTTGTAATCAATCCAAAAAGGCCTTTGTACATTGCTTACAAATTCCCCGAGAATGAGTTGCAAGGATGTGGATGTTTGTAACAGCCGAGTCAGGGTAATGGGAATACAACGATGATTCGTATGATGCCATACTCACCATAGATGCTTCAGTGACATCTTACTGCCATCATCAGTAGTCATCTTACTTGTCATACACAAATGGCTGCCTTTTGGTCCTTTTTCTAGAAAGAGAAGAACATACTGAACTAGTTCTCTTTCCACTTAAAGAAGTAGCAAAATAAACTGAAACAAAACTAGTTCAGTAGCTTGTACAGAGCAGAGCAGCTAAATAGATAGAGAATGTCATGAGGGAACCCTCTAGTCACCACAATGAAATGAAGAGCATCTATAAAACTAATATGTTGATAGCGATCATCGTACTCATGAAGCTGTCTTCCCTTCCCTCTCTCCTTTTCATTGCTGCCTAGCTGTAGTAACATGATACATCTCAATTTACTTGGATAATGGTTCAGACTACGTCATAGATCTCATATTAGTTGTTCCACATATAGAACATGTACAATTGGACAATGAAAAACTCGAAATTCTGACTTGTGTACTCGTTAAGACATGGTTTACGAAGGAGGATCTCTTAGGTCTTTGCTTATGCTATATTAAGCTTGTTAAGCAAATCAGACCAACCAATCATGTTGATCTTGAATGATATTTTAACTTTCATTTGAGAGGGTCATACAGAGCTTGCACATAGAGACCACACATGATCTTCATGAATGCTAGATTATCAATAACGCAATAATACATTGGTTCCTCCATTGAGTTGTCACCCACTTAATACATGTGGAAGTCATAGCGTTGAGCCCTCCTAAACAAAACCTTGAATGTCATTTTTCCTAGGTTATTTGTTGTACTAGTTAGAATTGTAGGATAGCTGAGAGAATGGATAATATTAACCGTGGTGAAGCCTCTCGCACTATGAACAACTAAACTTATAATGTTTTGCACATTATTATTGTAATGTAAACAATAATGTAATACACGATTTTTATTTAGGGCAGTATAAAGTTCTTTTTTTGTCTTTGTTTATTATATCAATGCCTTACTTTTGTATGTTAGTTATTGCTATTGCTTGTTTTGTCATCTACTTATATTTTTTTGGTTGAGGTGTTTCAAACACAGAAAATCCCAAACTAGTATAAGGCTTGGGTTATTATTTGGTCCAATAATGGCAAAATACATTTCTATGTAAAAGAAATTATGCTTAATGAAATGACACACATCCATACTGTGCTTCTCTGCTTCTCTGGTCTTAGAAGAGGGTTGCCCTGCAAAGCTGCCAGTTGGTATTCATATGTAGGAACCATACTAGAAAGTGAATAAAAAGGGTCTTAGCAATGGAGTGATGGGAAATCTTTATCAACATTTGTGAGTTGATGCAATGCTTAGTTTTTCCCATTCAGATGCAATCAAATGAAATTTGGATTAGTTGTAACCTTTTTAGCTACATGTTGAATAAAAAATTAGACCCAGTGAGAAATGAGAAATGGTTGCATTGTCATTTTTATGATGGCATTTTAATTTAAAGTCTGAACAAGAACCTTTGCACTTCAAGAATGGAGACTATTACTTGATTAAAGGACTTAGAGAGAGAGAGAGATGGAAAAATGTCAAGAGTTTGCATTTGGAGTTTATTTAACTAGAGAAGGATCAAGTGACGTTGTGGGCTTTTGAGAAGAAGAAAATTCCTATGATGTGTACAAATGTGTTCAAATATATGTATTGGTTTTGTAGTAATGAGCATAAATGCGTGCAATATTGAGACAGATGTTTTCTATAGGGTTACAAAACTAGTTAGCCTTTGAGTCCTTATATTTTCCGTTTTACTTATTCATGAGCTCATGAAGGGCTTACAAGAGGACGTAATATGGCGTATTCTTTGGCGATGATGTAGTATTGATAAATGAGCTGGGCAATGTGCTAAAGCGAAGTTGGAAGCTTAGAGAAACACTTTAGAATAAAACAAAGTGCTGGAAAGTATATTAGGAAGTTATTGTATAGCTATCAAAGTGTGAATATTCTGTTGTAATAAGGAAATCACTGATTGATATCATTATGATTTCCTTAATCTTTTCTCTTTTTAGTTAGACTCTTGTCTATAAATTGTTTGTATTTCCTAGTTTGAAAAGATAACAAAGAATACTCTTTTCTTAGCCTCTTTGTTCATGGTATCGGAGTCTACAATGGCTGGAGACTATTTTCTTCCCTCTTCAGTCACCCAACAAGATCAACCTATACCTAACCTTTCACAATACCCCTCTCTCGAAAACCCTTCTCGCACTCACAAGGTCCGATATTACCCATAGTGAGTGTAATAAATCAGTTTAGGCATTGTTCCACTAAAAGACATCTGGAAGCAACCAACAGAATTTTGAAGTACCTCAAAGGAACTCCAGGCAAGAGAATTTTGTTTAAGAAAGGAAAGGAACTAGATGTTAAGGGATTTGCAGATGCTGACTAGGGTGGATTAGAAGACAGTAAATCCACAACAGGCTATTGCACAAAAGTATGGGGAAATCTAGTCATTTGGCGAACCAAACAACAATCAGTAGTGGCAAGAAGCACTATTTAGGAAGAGTACTGAGCAATTGGTCAAGGGGTCTGTGAACTAATCTGGTTTTGTGAAGCTTTTGAGAGACCTAAAGGTCCCTATAAACAGTTCTATTAAGCTGTATAGTGACAACTGTTGGTCACGGTTCCAGCATCTTCCTAAATCGAAACGTGGCGCTGGCTGCTACGCTATAAAGGAAATAAGGTTGCGCCTTCACCAAGGCAATTGCTTTTGGTGTAGTGGGTAAGCGCTTGATCCTAACAACAACAAATCAACAATAATTATAGTTCACAATCCTGTCCAGCATGACCGAATGAAGCATGTGAGAATGATAGGAGTTTCATAAAAAGATGCAATTGATTCAGGGACAATTCTTATCTCTCATGCCCCATCATCGCAGCAAGAAGCAAATGTTCTTACCAAGGCACTCTTCAAACCAGAATTTGAAGTTTTAGTTGGCAAGCTGGGATGATTGATATCTATTGTACAACTTGAGGAGGAGTGTTGGAAAGTATATTTAGGAAGTTATTGTATAGCTATAAAAGTGTGAAATTCTGTTGTAATAAGGAAATCACTGATTTGATTTCATTATGCTTTCCTTAATCTTTTAATTAGCTTCTTGTCTATAAATTGTTTGTATTCCTTGGTTTGAAAAGAGAACAGAGAATACTCTTTTCTCAGCCTCATTGTTCGCAAAGTATATGGAATGCAACTTTAATGGTTTGCTAGGCAATTTGGAAATTTGGCAAGCATATCTGGACATGAAGTAGTTAGGAACACCTTTTAGTATTAGAGATCAGTTTTCAAAAAAGAATGAAAAGGTTTATGTGTATGTTAGTCATAAGATGAGAGTAGGGTAGATTAAAAGAGAAGTTTCAGGAGTCTTGCATGATCAAAAAGTTCCACTGAAGTTGAATGGCAAGTTCTATAGGACAGCGGTACACTACTGATTTACGAGGGCGAATGATCAGTAGATAATATGTTTACCAGATGACTGTGTCAGAAATGCAGTGTTGAGGTGGATGTCTGTCCACACAATGAGGAATATGATCAAAATGAGAATACATGAGAGCCGGTTGGGTGACAATAGTCGATGAGTAGCTAATGCTACTTCTTTATTTGTTGGGGATTAGCCATTTGTAACATAGACCTTAAATGCACTGTTAGAGAGGAGAATGGTACCAAGAATAGGCTGTTTCCACCAAGTAGACATTGTTAGTAGAGGTAGAGCGGAGAGATGTAGTTAGAGAGATGGAATGGCAGGAATGACACCTTGGAGGTGGCTCTTTTTGATTCCTTTTAGTTTCATTCGTAGTGTACCCGCTAGTTTAGGATTGAAAGCTTGCTGGTATTGTCGCATCATGTACCAATGTTTGATAAAAGAAATGAATTCAAATATTAGAAATGTAACTATTTTAATCTCAAGGAAAATTCGGTGGTGAACCTCGTCGATATCACATCACAAATAGCATGTATGTTTAACTTTGTACATTTGGTCCGATGCAAAATGGTTAAGGTTTTTTCTAAGCCAAGCAAAACCCATCATTACATATTATAGGTATGCTACAACCTGTTATCAAGCTGTCTTATTGGTATTTTTTTCTCTTTTGATAGTATGGTTGGATGCTCTTAAACACCATTCCCTCTTCATATTAATGAATCAATCGTTTGTTGTTTTTCTTATAGGGTGAAGCTGAGCTTATCTCATCTATTGTTACATTTTTCAAGCGAATTGGGATAACTGCGAGAGATGTTGGGTTCAAGATATCTAGCAGAAAGGTGTGGCGTAATCCTCATTATTTTTCAATAGCACTTGGGATCTTCTTTCACTTCATTGCATATGCTATATAACCTTCTGTGAAACTGTGCAAAGCCTTGTTCTTGCTCTTGGGCATTCATGTTGCTTTTGCCTTGTTTTTGCTCTTGCTCAGGTCTTAAGATTACATAGATGGTTCTGAAATCTGTCTTGAATTATTGCCTGAAAAGCACAGGCAGATCTGGGATATTAGGCAAAATCACCATAAATGAGCTAAAGAAAATACATCAACTGTTCCAAATAACCAACTCCCATGAAACTGATCCTTGCATAATCAGAAGTTCACCATCAAACTTAAACTGTGAGGCGGTGATGGAGGAGCGTTAGATGGAAATTTTTCGATGGTTGGAGTACATGAAGAGGGTATAGAGAAAGGGAAAGGAAATAAATGAGAAGAACATTGAGAATAAATTAACTGTTATAGGATCATTTTAGCAACCTAGGGAATTTAAAGTATATCCTTGAGAAGTTCTCCGATCCGATTTTCTCTCAGTCAAGCTTATAACTACTTTGATTGGTTGAAAATGTACCTATTGGAGATATACTTGTATTCAGGATCCAGCCTCTAGACCCTAGTGGTTGAGGTAAGGTCTGCGTACATCTTGTCATTCCCAGACCCTATTTTTGAGTAGGATATACTGGATTCATTTGGTTTGGTTTTCTTATATTCAGGGTCCACAAACAGTCAAATACCCATGCAGACTGGCAAATAAGACAATGTTAGATGGACTTGATATAGAGAACCTATGAAATAGGACACAGGATGCAAAAAACTTTTTTCTAATATTAGAGATTGGTTGGCTACAAAGAATTAGAAATTTTAGATCAAGAATTTCAGATGGACTTGATATAGAGAACCTATGAAATAGGACACAGGATGCAAGCTACTATTATATAAAAGAAAAAAACAAAATGCAAAGCTGTCCTGGACTATTCCTCAACTTATACTTTTGCCATTTTAGTTTGAAACTCAGATGCAGTCCATGAACTATGACTTTGGCCACAAAAGCACTCCAAATTAGCGTTTCCATAAGGAATACAACTATGTGGGTCATGTGCGTCTCATGCTCCATCTTTTGAGGGCATTTTCATTTTTTTCTTTTACCATCTTCATCGTCTTCATCTTGAGAATCTAACCACTGAAAATTTTCCAAAAACTCTAAATGAATCTGGGTGTACATGGATGAACGATCATTACTCTCTTGGGGTTATTGTTTGCTAGAACTTCCTCCTTTTGTTGGTCCACAACTCATTTCCTCAGATCTCATTGAAACACCAGTCATATCCACAATGGTTTCGAAGCCCTCTTGATAACTTGTGCAGGCAGTTGTAATACGTAATCTTGATTATATTCTTATTTTCTCAACCCATGCAATTGTTAGCGCGTCACTGGATCTTTACAAATCATTGGATTCAAAATCATCTGAGGCATGGAGTCATGCTGGCTTCCGACCCGAACGGACACTTTTCGTGTTGAGGATGACAGGCGGCTACGGAATTTATAGGACATGTGGTAACAATGGCGAGAAGGAGCTTTCACAGAAAGAAAGAAACCGATGATTTGATGGCTTTCTACAACCAAAGAATGTTGCAAATCAACTAATCAAGAAATTGGCAAACAAGTCTGAACTTCAGGAACAAAGTGCAAACCGATTATTTCATATTACAATTGCTTGTGGACTAACTAGCAAAGAGAAGTTCCAAAAAGACCAAGCCCTAGAAGTTCAGATTTCCATCATGCTTATCTACATATGAAAATTCCTACTGGGGTTTAGTCATGGTCATCTGCTTTAGCAAATTAAAAGTTTCAGGGTTTTGATCTTCACATGTGCGATACTCCTTAAATCATTGGGTTTCAGTCTAGACTTCGCAAATGTGAGTGAGGTTGAAACAGGGTAAAAGGCTATTTAATTGATTTTTTTAGAATTAAATTGTTTAGATATTCTCATTTTGAAGTTGAAGATTAAGATGATAGCAAAATGACCAATTTCCTCTATAAAAAATGGTCACATGCCTGACACATGGCCAACTTAACAGATTTTTTAAATGGAACCTAAAAGTTGAATTGGAAGTTTTGTGATGATGAAGTCTGAGTGACTTCAATTGTTTATTTCAAACTAAATGGCACAAGTGCAAGCTGTCATATGGTACAGGGACAGTTTTTTGTAATTTCTCTAAAAGAAAAGATACAATGGGTTAGGAGATGTATTTATAACTAACAAGCAATCACATGCATATATTAGCAGATATGATCATGTGACAAGAAAATATGTTTGTCCACTAAATTTAGGACTAATTGCAGACAATGTCCAGGTTAGGGTGTATTTGATTAAAATTCCATACATATGCTTTGTGGACACCTAACATATTTGAGTGCTAAACGCAATCTATTAGATGTCTTATTCGTAACTACATTCTTTGCCTTTCACCTTCGAACATGCTTATAAGCACTCAATTTCATGAACACAATGTTTGCTATGGACACGAATCGTTCTTGCTGTACACTAAATTTAAGTTATATTATCGCACATACTTCTCAATTTCATGAACAATGAGTAGCTGCTCAAGGGTTTTTTAATACTTCCTGAACATCTAGACGTTATCTTGTTGATCTACTTATTTTATCTTTACTAGTGCATATTAATTGGTATGATTTCAGCTGTCTCAAGAATGCCTAGGCATGCCAATGAAAAATCGTTCCCTTTCTCTTGCAGGTTCTGCAAGTGTCGAGTTTTTATAACGAAACTTTACGTGGCAAAGTTTAACCTTCTTTTAGTAGTCCATATTCGTTTGTATGACTTCAGCTGTCCCAAAACAGGCTCTGAATTTTCCAGTGTTATTAAGCTTGTTCCCTTTCTCTCTCCGCAGGTTCTACAGGAAGTGCTTAGTTTCTATTCGGTACCAGAAACTTCATTTTCTAAAGCTTGCATCATCATAGATAAGGTTAGTGATTGCCATGTGCTAATATCTAATAGGCAACATTAATTCACCGTTCAGTTATGACTTCCCATTTTTCATCGTATCCTGTTTCTAAGGTTTATTTGATATTGCCAACTATTTGCCCATTCTATGCACATCTCTTCTATAGCCCAAGGAAATTCAAACAAAAAATGATAATGGTTTTTTGTAAATGGATATTCATTTGATATGTTTTATTTAATTCCACATGGTTCTAGGGCTATACAGGCTCAAAATCATAGATCTTTTTGGTAAAAGAAACAAAACTTATTATATTGCCAAAATGACCTGAACTTTTTCAAGGATACAACATGATCTTTTGTGCTTTGGTTTCTTCTATGAAGTGTATTAGTATCAGCTAGTCTGCCATTTTTATTGTAGACAAAAAAAGTAAGAGATGGCTCCATGTTCTCTGAGTCAGTTTGTTGATTCAGATTCAGGAACACCACTGAAGGTTTCCAGGAAAATTATCATGACAAAGGTCCTGTCTATGTGGCAGTTGGAGGTTGAAACTAGATCTTCCATTAATGTTGGTTAGAATTGAACAGTTTGTAGTTATCTAAATATAAGAATCTAAGGGGATGATTTATCTTTTGAACTTATTCACTGCTTTATGATAGAAATTCATGTTTGTCACCCTTGCCAAATATGTCTGTCTTTTGTTGCTCATGTAATATTGACCAACTGCATATGAATCAGTCAACACTTTCATCTTTTCTTGTGTGCATATGGTGTATATGCTTACATACACTTTTTTATGCTGATGATTTTTTTTTAACTTCATTGGAAACAGATGGGGAAAATTCCCCTGGAGGAGATCAAGAAAGAACTGAATTCGGTTGAGTTATCAACTGAGGCTGTTGATGAGCTACTGCAAGTTCTTTCCATGAAGTCTCTGACGGAGTTGGAAGGTATTATTTAGTGCTATGTTGAATAAGAATTAACATATTCCTGGAGCCTAGTAAGGCTATAACATTATAAAGTACTGTTATTCATGACATGTATGCTGTAGAGTATGTTTTGAAATCTATTTGATTAACATGCAAAATTTGTTCCCCATTTATTATTTACCTTGTAATTATTATTAAAGTTATAAATAATATTTGGTCTTAGTAATGGAGTGTCTTTGAATTTCAAAGAAGCTTTAGAAGCTCTATTTGGTAATCTTGGACATGGTCGCTTTATGTAATCTTGGGTACATGGTTGCTTTATGTAACTCAAAAGGGAAAAGGGAATTCAAGGGAGGTTGATAAAAAAGCAGAGTCAGGTTTCTGAAATGACTAATTCCTGTCAATTGAAATGCATTGACTTGCTAATCATGCCTCTTTCCTTCCGTTAGATACACCTTTGAGATTAGACCATAAAGAGAGAGTGGGATCATGATGGATGGACATAATTCAGGTGTATGATGGAGACAGTAGGTTTTTAAGTCAGGGACCATAATATGAAGTTTTATCACTGAATCAGAAAGAAAGCCCTTGTTCTTTGGTTTATTTTCATAGGTTTATTTTCTCAGTCTTTTTTCCAGATCTAGATTTGACAAATGATTTCCAGAAAGCGAAGAAAAGTTAAGTTAGTGCTGAATTTGCCAAATGGACATGACCTCTTATTGCTGCTATGTACACTGGTGCATTATCTGGTTGGTATCAATTATCATGGATTGTGCATCTGGAAGTGAAGAGGGATATATGTATATGTTCTTGCTACTTGTATGAAATCGATATCTATAAACTGGCATTGCCAAGTAAACGGGATAACTTCTAACAAGATGGTTGTTCTCTGCTGAGCTGTAAAATGATAGTTGCTATATATCTCTGCTTTCCTGTTCTTCACAGAGAAACTTGGAGCTGCTGGGGAGGCGGTCAGCGAACTGAAACAACTATTCTCACTTGCGGAAAAGTTTGGTTATTCAGAATGGATCCAGTTTGATGCTTCTGTTGTCCGGGGGCTAGCTTACTATACTGGAATTGTATTTGAGGTGAGATTTCTGAAATTTGTATTCCTAGTTATGAGAGACTGAAGCTGGAAAAAGCTTTTTGATTCACTTTCTGCCTTCCAAGTGGCAGCTAATCCTCTTGATAATACAGTAGTAGCATCTTATATACCAAATAAAGTAATATGAAAAAGGAGTTCTCATTTTCAAATTTTAGAAAACACATGGAATCCGGTGTGAATCAGCAAGGACCACCTTGCATGATTGGGCTATTCCGACAATTGTAAGTATGTGAGGTCTACCCTTTATGCTGGATGGCCTTGCACATGATGATCACAAAACTCTTTTCCTCTTGCATTCATTATATTCCTATCGTAGTTAACTGCTCACGTGATGTTAATCTGAATAATGCTATCATGTATCAAATAAAATTGTGGATTCCGTCACAGCAATACACAGTTTCCTTGTTCGGCCAATTACCCATAAATTTCACCATCTTCTGATTACATGTTTTTAACTCCTCTTCAAGATGTTAACGTTTTAAATTAGAACTGTAAAATGCATATGAAGCCATCCTAATATGGTTGCTTATTTTTTTCTTAGATTTTAGAATTATGCCATTATTCAGCTCTTAGCTCCCTATTGAGAATCATAAAATTTGTGTAATCCATTGTTACGAGAACATTAAAGAAATTGTCAGCCTCAGATTCTTGATGCATTTCAAGTTTTAACGAGCACTCTTAGAAGCTTGTGTGCACTAAAGATGGAAAAGTATATTTTGACAGGATGTTGCTTTTCTCTGGGACACCACACTCAAATGAGGTGTACATAAAGTGTGTAGGTAATTATGAATTGTTACATCAACCCTAAATACAATGTTCCTATTTATTCAGGGATTTGATAGAGAAGGTAAGCTGCGTGCCATTTGTGGTGGTGGGCGATACGATCGTTTGCTTTCTACTTTTGGGGGTGACGACATTCCTGCCTGTGGCTTTGGGTTTGGTGATGCTGTCATTATTGAAGTGAGTATGATCTTTTTTAATAATCTCTTGCAAGTGCTACTTTTAAACTTAACTTTGCGGAACCCCTTGTTTATATATGATATCATATATAATGTTGGATAAGATCATGCAATCGAACACGGGATGGCTGCTCCTTATGCATCTTAGCAAGGAGTCAGTCAGCCACTTGCAGATCATCCCTATAATAACCTGGCTTTTAACATTTTTAACGTTCGTGTGAGATAATTTAACTTGGAAAAGCGTTTACATATAATAACCCCGCTTTGTGCTCTAGTTTTCCTGCTTTAATTAATGATACAGCTAAGTTTCTCAAGAAATGTTCGTTAAAAGCTTGACACCATCTTTGTTTTGTGTTGCTTCTTCTGTGAGTTATACTCTGTTTATACAGTTTTGTTCTTGCTTGTATTAAAACCGTTTCTTCAGTAGACTTTTGCTATCCTTATTGAGGAGTATCAGTTCTATTTTATTTTATACCATGTGTTCGATCTCAATTCAGATATTTTGGCTGTTTCATGACATAATTCTTTATAAAAAATTATGTACAACAATTAGCTGCTGAAGGAGAGAAAACTTTTACCGGAACTTCCTCTTGAAGTGGAGAACATTGTGTGTTCACTGGATCCTGATCTTCAAGGTGCAGCTTCCTCAGTTGCTACTGTTCTTCGGGGAAAGGGTCAGTGTGTTGATTTAGTTTTGGAAAACAAACCACTTAAATGGTAAGCTGCTGGTGTTTCTGATCATGATTGCTGCATTATCTGATATATACGCTGGTATCTAAATGTTCTGTACATGTGTCAGGGTGTTCAAGCGAGCAGCACGAATAAATGCACGCAGATTGATACTTGTAGGAAGCTCCGAGTGGCAAAGAGGTATGGTTTCTGTCAAAATCCTCTCAACTGGGGAACAATACGAAGTTAACTTTGATGAGTTAGGGTGACACCGAATTTCCTACTATGAGTCTCATTTTTAGCATTTAGATCTTTCATTTGTGTAATTATCTTGATAATTATTTATCCATTGAGCACAACTAAAGTCAAATCTTGTGTGTTGCTAAAAATTTCTAATATATGAATCCAATTTTTTTGCCATAGAAGTGGTTTGTTAGTTTTTATCCTATAAATTTGTTTCTTGTCTTTTGCTTACTTGTTTTGTGGTATAGTCTCTATGTCTTGTTGCACTTCCTCCCTGGAAAGATTCTATTCGGCAAGGTTTGTGTCTATTCTACCCCCAAACTCTTATCTCAAAGTGGGATATACCGAGTTTTGTCTGATTTGGTTTATGTTTGAGGTCGACGCCAATATCCAAGGGTTTACTATTATGTGCTGAATTGTCGTAGCGGTAAGGAGGTGAGAATCCATAATTGATGTCTCAGGATGCAACACCATCCACCTGGTTTTTGGGACATATGTGCTCTAAATCTAAAAAGGTGGTGTATGCATATACCCTATATTTGACATTTGTCGTATTTTAAACTTGAGTAGCTCTTTTGAGATCGATAATGATAGTGTACTTTCAGTCGTTGCTCGTGGCTTGCCAAGTTCAGAAAGATAGAGGGTTTAACGTTAGAACCTTGACTCAACTCGTGCAAGGTTTGTTTTAATGGGTTCAATTATGCTCGTATAAACGTGTTGTTCGTGCTTGCACCAAATACAAATGAAAACTAGTTGAAATAAAAATACAAATAAGCCACCCTTATTTAACGACTGTTAAAAGAATTTCATTAGATAAAAAATTATTTTCTTCTTTTATTTATTTTTTTGTCTTTTATCCAATCAAAATACACAAGGTTCAAAATCATAAAATTGATTTTGATTTGAGTTAAAGACCAAAAAAATCGATAAAAGGATGAGACATATTAAGAGCCGTTAGAGAAGGATCAAATCCGAATATTTTTACAAACCATCTTGTAATTTGAAAATGATAAGGATGATAAAGTGTTAAATCACGGGAGCATATTTATAGTTTACTCTAAACTAGATAAACATGAATTATAATACGATAGGTTTGGCTCCTAAAACTTCACATGACTGATGATTCGCAATAAATTTGATTCAACTTAAATAATCAAACAAGTCGACGCCTAACTGATTAGGTATTTACGAGTGCCAAACTTTTTTTAGTAGAGCACGATTGTGCTCTTAATTAAACATGTAATTAATGCATAATAAAATACAAGATTATGTAAATATGTAATTCACTCTAGAACTTTATGCGCTAATTTTGTTCTAAACACTTGTGAATTTCTTGTTTCATATCCAAACCTTCACTCTAAAAGCTTAATCTCTGTCATGTTTTAATTTGTTTTTGATTATTTGGAAAACACAGAGTGATTGGCTTGCTTTACGGAATAGATTTGAGAAGCAATCAGCTTATTTACGAGAACTCGAGGATCAAGCGAGGATAATTTGTCATTCGATATAGAGTCACTCTCAAAAGAATTCTTTTACAATTTGTGTCAGGAATGAGGTTCAATTCTTTTGTGCACTAACTTTGTCTTTTTCCCTTGCACAAAGTATGTTGGTCTTCAGAATCTGATACAACGTAATTAGCAAGTATATAGCTTTGGGAATGCTCCGATCGGTGGAGTGGCTTTGCCTTTTATACTGGTGCAGGTACATCTGTTTGACAATATTTTATTGTCACCTTCCTTGCTTTTTACTGAAGAATGAACAAAAAAACCTAAAAAGCTCATAAAAAGATGCAACCCAAGTTTAAACCAAACCAAACAAACCCATTACATCCCAGACAGAGGGACACTATTTCCACGTATTACGTATAAACCTGGTTTCTTGCGCAATAGCTGAACAAGTTTAATATTCATACCCTTAAAGTTTGAGCTGAAATATTTGGTTTATGTGGTAGTCTTTTGGTATTTGTTGACATACAGATAACCCATAGTTAACTAAAGCCGAAACCTTCTTACGTCCAAATAAAATAGTAGCAAGTTTCAATCTTTGATGTTCCATATCATTTGCAATATATTCTTTGTATGGCAGAGTTTCTGAAATTACTTGTCAATGGGATTTTAAGTTGCTCAACAATATACCCTCTGTTTGTCTTTTTTTGGAAGGGCATTTTGGCCATATACACTTGAAAAGAAGTCGATGTTTACGGCCAATGTTTGCGATTACTTTGTGAGGGAGTGGACCAAATATCATGAGTGGTTCAAAAATCAAAACCTGTAATTTTGATACAGAATCTTGGTTCAAATTATGGAAATCTGCTATTCATGTAATCAACCACCCAAATGGAAATTTGTGCATGTTCCTTTGCCTCAATTGTTAAATAATGCTTCAAGAAATCTTGAAAAGTTGTATAAGTTCTTGGTGGTTAGACTGTAGTCTTTGTAAGATTTCCTTTCAGATAAATGTTCAGGAAGGATCATATGGTCACTTCCCTTTTGCTTTTGAGGTCAAATGTCGCATTCATTATGCAGATTTTGAAGTTTTAATTTAATACCTAAGTTAGTCCAGTTGACCTCAAATTCACAAGAAAAATAAAGATCTTTAGCCATTTTGTGTTGTTTGACGTGCATGTAACAAGTGGTTTTATAGTTGTATTAATACGTTGTTACTAACTGTATACTAATACTCGGCATCTCCAACTGTAGACTGGGCCTCATGCCACAGTCGAAGTAGAAATTTCAGAAGATATGCAACTAGTTCATTTCGACTTCAATAGGTAACCAACCACATTTCGTTATATTTCACCCCCATAAACTTTGACTTAATCAGCGTTAATTCGTCCAATTGCAGCTCTTTGTTTGAGATACATGATGATAATCATGTTCTAGAGGCAATGAAACTATGTGAAGAATCAAAAGGTGGTGGTAATGGCAACGCGTCTTTAGACCCTGTTTCAGCCTCGAGTCCGTAGGACCACAGTGTCATCCAGTAGACCATATCCGCATTAGTTACGATCTCTACCATCTGTATATTCATGACTCTAACCAAACTCCCATTCCATTATGTAGATGTATTGTGGTTTAATATAAAGGTAGTGTAAATGTTCTTGATTTAGTTCCATTTCAAGAGCCCGTCATCATAAAATCTTTCTTTATACAGATGAAAGTTTTATATACATCTTTATTTTCAATAATGTCGTATAGAAGGGAAAGCAATATGGGAGGCAAATACTCCCACGTTCATGAACTCAGTGCCATACAAAGACATTGAAAAAGGAAGAGGAAAAGTACAAAAAACTGAAGTGAGAGAGTGAAAAGTGCAAAGTATTAATAACCCGTCATAAATAGATAAAGCGTGAACGTTTAAACGCATATTTTTACTATTGGTCCCAGATATGGTACTTGCCGACGTTGGTCCAAATTTGGATTTATGCTTTTCTTAACCCTTTGGAGATGCCCATTACATTCCTTTTACCATATAAATGCTATTGGAATCGTATTAAAAAAAAACTTCCAAATTGAACAAAATGTTAAAAACGGTGCAAAAATGTAATTACCTTATTCTACAAGGACCAATAAGTAACAAATTGGAACAGAAAAACCAAATAGCCAAAATGAAAGTCGTTAGTTATCAAAACTTAGAACCCATGGGTTGAGGGGACCAGTGGGCCGTTGCAAGGGTTATTCCCACGTGGGACGCCACCTGCAGTCACGTGACGCTAACCGGTGAGTAGTACAATCACGTGGCTTTTTGTGGCTCATGACTCACCACGGACTTTCGATGTATATATTCCCAACCTATGTGTACTATTTTTTCCTTAATATATAAATTAATAAAAACATTTTATTATGTAAATTTAAGTCCATTCTACAACTCAGAGAAAGATATTTACAATTATTTTTGTTTTGAGTAAAATCATTTTTAAAATAAATATTTATTAATAACCGTAAGATTTAATATGAGACAATTATTTAAGATAATTAATATACACATAATCGCTCTACTACTTCTTATTGCATCAACAAATTTTTTTTTACTGACCGACGTCTCACCTGCACAGGTACCTACCTGCTGTCGGTCGCACATTCAACTTTATTTCTTAAAATAAAGTAAAAGGGGAAATTAGTAGTTTGATATTCTCAATTTGTATTTAGTTAAATTAACAACTATATATTTGTCTCCGTATTTAACAACTCTCTTTCTCCTTCATGTTTTTTGGCTTCTGATTGTTTCCGCATAATGTACCGATTGTCTGTGTAAATCAACTCGAAACGGGATGTGTCCAAGGAAGTGTATCATTATGTATATTTTTTCGAAGTATATCAGGTGGTGTTGCTTTACCAAGTGTATCAGGTGGTGTTAATTTATGCAGACCCGTTCTTGACATTTTATGGGCCCTGCGCGAATGTAAAAACAGGGCCCATTGCAAGAAACAAGACTTGTAGCAACGATTTTTGTCGTCACTAAAAGTCTATTTATCATCAGAAAGAGTATATACTAACATGTCGTCGTTATAACTCATGGTGGAAACATGTCATCGCTAAAAGACGCATCGTCAAAGCTCACTTTTCTTGTAGTGATTCTCGGTAAGTACGAAAAAAAAATTCAATAAATGTCTTTCATTAGTATAAAATTGAATACAAGAAATGCTAATAATTTATTGAGGAAATAAATCTTATTTATCTTATTATATATATATATATATATATATATATATATATAAGAGTACTTAATTTTTTTTTTATTAACCTGGATATCCAACTCACTATGCGAGCCGACTAATCCCAGGGCAACCACCTGCTTTGCAGGTAGCCCGGAGTCACCGCATTTGAACATTCGTGGCTACAAGGGGATTTTTGTTTCTTTTTGGATTTGAACCTGGGACCTCTAAGCACTTTTGACAATTGGAGCCAAGCTCAAACAAATCAGGCATCACCCTTGTGGTTACTTAAATTTACGTATTTCTTATTAGGTAATTTGAAACCAAAAGTATAAAAAGTAATAACTTTTTAGTTAATAACAAGAAATATGTGTTATTTTGATACAAAAAGAGAATTCGTGTAAATGAATTAATCGTGAGGGTCAATGAGAGATCAATAATAAATAAGATTATCAAGATTTTCTAGATAAGTAGACAAATGAAGATCAATAAGAATATATGAAAGAAAATATGATTCATTGAGAT